AAAAGATCGTTGGTCATTGTATAGTAAGTTTTCAACAATACTCGTTTTTAATTTAAAGTCGACCGGTTAATTTTTCGTTGATTCATGWTGTCAGCAATTTTGAAAATTGTCGTTTCGAAAAAAACGCGTTTAAAGTTTCTCTTATATATGGTTATACCTGGGAACGGTCGCTTTTTAGAACGCTGTCATTCAAAAACAATTTAAGATACGACCTTGACAATTTCACAGAATAGTTTTGGAATTATAAACTATCGAAAAAGCAAACAGAGAAAAAATATTTTTTTTGAAAGTATCACCTCTTAATAGTGTCCATGAGAGCATTCTGGTAGATAACTAGTTCAGCGGTGAAATGATTATGGGAGCGTTTACATGTCTTTTTGACTAATTTTTATCTTCTGAAACTTTTGTATGTTTCAAACATTCAGTAATCTTTTTATTTTAAAATATTTAGTCGTCTACCTTATTAAATTTATCTAAATTGTAAACAAAATGCAAAATATCATCTTTATTTTTTTTCGCCTTCAAAGTAATCTCCATAAGATATAATATACTTATGCCAACGATTTTTCCAGTCCTCAAAACACTTTTCATAAGCGTTTTTTGAAATGGCCTATTTTATCGAATTTTTTTTTATCTCTTCGATCGACTGAAAACGGTTTCCACGGAGCGTCAATTTCTATGTGAGGAACAAAAAAAAAAAAAAAAAAAATCACGAAGCTAAGTCTTGTGAAGACGGTGGTTGATCGATGATATTCATTGCGGTTTTGGATTTACCGGTCACAATCACAAAAATCGGCACGAGTCGAGCAAAAACGCAGTTCGTCCAGAACGAGGCATGTCTTCAACGATCAACTCGCAGGCTTGTGTTTTTAACAAAACTGAATCTCTATATGCTTTTTCTCAACAATCGCAATGTTTGTACATTTTAAAAATCGCAACGCACTACCACGGTACACCAACTTAAACACCTGTATACTCTTTTGATGTAATTTTGCTTTCAAAAATTATCGATTATGGTCTAAAGTGAAAGTGAAAATTTTGAAATTTTCTGCCATCCTTTCAAGCCTTTGCATATGCTTTCGTCACTATTGTTATATTTTTGAAAGTCATGTTATATAAGTCAATAAAGTTTTTCTGACTTCCCAAAAGGCTCCGAAAAATAGTTTTGAAACTCATATTTATATAATAAATGCTTATCAAMAAAAATTAAAGCAGAATTAAGCAAACAATTATTTTTAATCCTTCAAATGCCATTGTTCTTATAAACAATATTGATTTTAAAATTAAGGCGACATATTTTAAATTTAGAAAAACAAAATCTTATTTCTTAAGGTCTGTAAAAAATTTCATTTGAACAACTGAAATCTTTATACCTTTAAGAGTTAAAAAACGCAACGCTAAAAGTAGCTTTCGAAATCATAAGATATTATTATTAAGCAATGCAAAAACAGCAAAAACATGGTTTTCAAAATATAATAAAATAAGTCGAACACAAAACTTAGTAAGTATGTATGTATATAGTATATTTTTATTTTATATCGTTTTTATAGTGTGTATTATATGAATGTTTATTCAACACATAAGTAAATATGTAGTATATGCATATGTGTGTGTAAGAATGTATTACATATAAATCGTATAAGTATTTTCAATTAAATTTATAATTAATGCTATGATAGTTTAGTAATATTCATTCATTTCTCGTCATATTTCGCTTCGTCTCGTTTAACATTCAGTAGTTCATTAACAGTAAAAGTGATGTAACGCTTGATTTAAATATGTTTTTTACAATACACATATATTATTTGCTGCAAAGTATAATGCAATTTCAAAGCATAGAAAATAATAATGTTCATAATGGTAATTGAAATTTTCTAAGCACTAATTAATTAATAATCAATTTTGTAAACATTAAAAAATTCAAATTCAAATTTTAAGCAATTGATCATTAAATAACTAATGCTTCAAAACTAACGATTAATTAATTTACACTTAAAATTAGTAATTAATTAAGGCTTTTAAAAAATAATTTGGAATCATTCATTAATTAATGCTTAATTAATTAAAAATTCTTAGTTAATGAACGCTCAAAAATKAATTAGTAATTAATTAATGCTAAAAATAATTAATTAATGAATGCTGCAAAATCACTTATTAAAAGCATGCATTAATTATTAATATTTACGCTTTAATTAATTACCAGTTAGCCGCTAATTTAATTAATTACTAATTTTAAGTATAAATTAATTAAGAATTA